ACCCTCCTTTTCCGTAGTTAAATCTCCCCTGCTCTGTCTTTTCAGTCTACAGCTTTACTGGAACTTCCTTTCTGGCCAGATTCAAAATATTTTAAATCATTCCACTGGGCCTTTATACTCTTGATTCTCAGCATAAATTTGGCTAAAAGCCCCAACAGCAGCCATGCCACAACTTCAACATTAGACTGTCTTGAAATTTCTTTTGCCAGATTAATTAGCTCACCATCTTCCAAAAGAAGAATACAAGACTCCTTCTGATCTTTGCAGTCTCAAGTAAAGTCTCTGGACATAAGCAAAATACAGATAAACTTTCTGCCAATCTATGACACATATCATCTGGCTTCAACAACCAATGCAATCCTTCTTCTCAGCAGAGACCTGCAGACCCTGGTCTTTACTGGTAGGATTTCTATCAGCCTTCTGGTCTGAGCTCTGACCAGACTTTCCCATACGGATCAGCCTAAGGCACTCCAGCACTTTTTCAGCCAGCATTTCTGAGCCTTTCCAAACTCTTCCTATATACCATTCCCAAAGGCTCCTAAACCACGGGGTCACATGTAGTCACAGCAGTGGCCCCATGTCCCTCATACCAAATTACGTCTTAGTTGCTTTTCTCTTATTGCTGAGGCAAGATACCCAACACCTAAGGTTAGTGGAGGGAAGGTTTATTTAGCTCACCATTTGTACAGTCTGTAATCAGCTGACTCAAGATAAGAATGACACATAGCAGAAGGATGGTAGTTCGTGGCAGTGGAAGACACCACAAGCACCAAGAGCAGCCTCTTTCTACTCCTTTTATCTTATCCAGATTTCTGAGATTAGGGCAATAAATACAACTACAAACTGAAATCAACCGAGTCACGTAAGGTAGACTTCTCACAAAGACAGGGTAGGTAAGTATGTACAGGAAAGCATAAAGTGAGCATCAATATGAGTAAAGACTGATCTAGGACCCACCAAATAGCTCAGCGGATTAAAGTGCCTGCAAGCAGGCTCAGGGGCCAGGAGTTCGATCCTTGGGCCTGCCATGCCGGCCCTGTCCCCGGGGTGTGCTGAGATCGCAATTGAGACTGGGCGTGGTGACACATACCTGTAATCCCAGCTCTTGGGAGGCTGTAAACAGGTGGATCACTAAGAGTCTGATCTAGTAATGAGACCCTGAACACCCTGTAGACCCTTCCCTAAAATACAAAAAAAAAAAAAGAATCATCTCTAAATGTTTATCCGTAACTCTAGAAGCCAATCTACAATGAGTGAAATCTCGCTCACTGACTGCTCCTATTACTAGTATGTCAGCTGATACGTCATTAACCCTTCCCTGAAAGGCTTACTTTCTAAGGGCCAGGGATGTAGCTCATTGGTACAGTGCTTGCCTGGCAATCATAAGGTTCTTTTTTTTTTTTTTTTTTGGTGGAACCAGGGATTGAACTCAGGCCCTTGCACTTGCCAGGGAAGCACTTATTCTACTGAGTCCACCTCCCCGGCTCCCAGGCATAAGGCGTTTTTTTTTTTTCTCTTCCCCCAGTACTGCGGAATAGAACTTGGGACCTTATGCCAGGCAGGCACTTATGCCACTGAGTTATCTCTCCAGCCCTAAGGTTCTGAGTTTGAGTCCCTGTACAAAAAGGAGAAAAAAAAGAAAAAAGAAAAAAAGATTCACTTTCTTTCTTCTTTCTTTCTTTCTTTTTTTTTTTTTTTTTGCAGAACCGGGGATTGAACTCAGGCCCTTGCACTTGCCAGGGAAGCGCTTATTTCACTGAGCCATCTCCCCGGCTCCAAGATTCACTTTCTTGAAGACATTTACCTGAGAATGTTTAATAAATAAGTTTGCATTTCTGAGTACAAGCCTATGGAGCAGCCTGATACAATACAAGCTTTTATCTATGTGAGGATAAGCCCATTCATTAAAATAACAGTATCCTTTATTTTATTAGTTGTTCTTATCAGCTGGGAATTCACATTAAGGGGAAAGAGATGAGCATTTTGATGACAACTGAAGTCAACCAGATTGATTGGAAGTTCTTTGTGTTAAGGAGCTACAAATGACATTTTTGACTTCACTCTGTACAGCCTGTGGTGGGTGAACCAGTGAGCCTTATCGTCCTTTTTCGCTGTGGTCCCTTTGGCTCTGTGCGGAGAAGAGGAAGGAACAACACTTTTTTATGACTGCGGTGTAAGTAAAGGAAGTAAAGTTAGGACTTTGGCAGAAAGATTTAAACATGGGGAATACGTTCTGACTGTGGAAGTACAATCTCAGTTCCTCACGGTGGGAGCAGGTTCTAAGTGGTGCAAGAACAAGTTTCAATAGTT